CTCCCATGTGTCTCCATCAAGCCCCGTGCTTGGGACGGTAAGTGCCAGCTCCTTACTGTCCCCAGAGTTGCTGTATGAGGACGTGTTCGCAGTGTGGGAGGTGATCTGGGCAGCCAGGCACATCTCATCAGAGCACTTTGTCCTGTTCATCGCCCTGGCCCTGGTGGAGGCCTACAGAGAGATTATCCGTGACAACAACATGGACTTCACTGACATCATCAAGTTCTTCAATGGTATGAGGTGATCCAGCCATCCGGGCTCCCCCACCCCCACCCCCAGCAGGGCATGGAGGCCAGGTCCTGGACTGTGCAGAGGTGGAGGGTTTTCAGGAATTCTAGGGTTCCTTCCCCACTGGCAGATGTCAAGAGCATAGCAGATAGAAACTAAGCAAGGTTAGGAGGCACAGGGCTCCTCACAGCCTCTCCACAATTGTCCATGTTCCCCCCCGCCAGAGCGGGCTGAACATCATGACGCCCAGGAGATCCTGCGAATTGCCCGGGACCTCGTCCACAAGGTGCAGATGCTCATGGACAACAAGTGAGAACCTGCCACCAGGGGCTGCAGACTGGAGAGCCCAGGAGCAGGCCCTGCACTCCAGCAGGGAGAGGCGGAGGTCACCATAGCCAGACTGCCTCACCCAAGTCAGTCCCCTGCCCCGACCCCGGCCAACCCTGCCCACTCAGCTGTGTGACCTGACAAAGTGACTGTGAGCCTGGGATGCATGGGCAGTGCTGGCCCTCCAGGGCCAGTCAGGGTCAGGATGCCTGCAGATCACAACTGGGTGGGAAGGGTTGGCCTCAGGGGAGGGGCTGCCTTGGGGACAGCTACCCAGTTTCCCTCTCAAACAACAGAACTGCCCCACCCGCAGCCTCCGCCTGGACTGTTTCCCAGTGTCTCTTCAGTCACCCTGGGGCCATGTAAGGTTAGTGGGGTCCACGTGGCCTCAGCCTCATCTAGCAGGAGGTGCATGGGGCAAGGAGCTCTGTGCCATATCTCTCCTGAGACCTTTTGTCGTCTCAACTAGCTGCCTATTCAGGCATGTGTCCTGGGGCCAGGAGATCTGGGCTGCCTTCCAGGCTCTCCCGAGACTTGGGAAGCCAGATGTGGGCCCTGGGTGAGAGCAGTCCACCTCAGCAGCACTGCCATCGTCTCTGGCCACCAGAGTGACCCCCGGAGCTCCGCACCCACTGCAGTGCACCCACTCATGTCTGTACAGTGTCACCCTCCACACCCTGCCCTTGCATTATGCACTAGAGATCCCCAGGACTGCGCGTAAATAGCACATTTACCCTCTGCAGGGTATGGAGGGCAGTGGGTGTGGTTGCTCTCCAGAGGGACCCCAGGGAGACTCTGTAGGAAAGCGATCCTGTCACAGCCTGGTTCCAAGGACGGGCCTCTGAGCTTCAGGGTGCCCATTACCCGTTCCAGACATCTGTGAGTTCCCAGGACCAAGGGAGGTGGGATTGCCTGGGTATTCTCAGTTCATGCCAGCTCCACTTTCCACATGCTTCTCAGGGTGCTGAGAGGCCTGGAAACCCAGAAAGGCCCTTGGAGGAGTTTGCAGGGGTGTCACCAAATGGATACCCCTTGACCCAAGGCCTAGACATGCTGCTTGTTAGTTTTGTCATCTCCGCGCCCCCCCCCCCAAGCACAGCCAGGCCTGGAACCTGCCCAGAAGTCACCAAGGTCCACAGACGTCCTGCATTCGGAAAACACGAGAAAGGGCCAGCCGCCGTCTGCATCTAGCACATGCCCTCCCTTTCCCGTCCTGCACGGCCTGTGTGGGGCCAGCCCGTCCTTGCTGTTCATGATCCTTGGCCTCCACCAAGCATGGTGGCCAGTGTGTGCCTGCCTTAGTGACTCTGGTTCTGTGAGGAGCAGAGTGTATGGGGTTTGGGGTTTATTTTTGTTTTTCATCTGGTTGGTCGGTTGATTTTGTTTTGCTCAGAAACCATACTCTTCAGTATAATAGACCAATAAAATGCGTTTGGTAATGCCTGCAGCTCTGATGGCTACTTGTGGGACTGGCTGGACACAGGACACAAAAAAAACATGTCCTTCCATGACCCAGCAGTAAAGAGTGACAGCTTCCAAAATAGCAAGAATGGGATAAGAGAACCAAAGTTCTTCCTAAAGAGGGGCCTCCACGTCGTGGGCTAGATAGAAAGTCAGTTGCCCAGAATGCCACACACCTCACCCCCAGAACCATGATCTTACCTCGGGTTGACCAGCAGAGCCTCCGGCCTGTAGTTGGGAGTAAGTCTTTGGCCTCCCCATGTCCCCACCAGCGTCCCAAAACTTCAGTCAGCTTAGCAGAGTGAGTAGACCTTACTGAGGGGTGGCACGAGCCCCCAGCTCTCAGCCCTCTGAGGGTATCTCTGAGATGTCCGGCTCGGGCTGAGGGAAGTGGCTGGAGGGTACAGCTCCTGTGGCTGCATGGAAAGGACCTGGTCAGGACCCTCGTGTCCTGCCTTTCCCTGCCCCAGAGCGCTTCTGGTCCTATCTTTAATAGCTCCCCCTCAGTCCTGCTTTGAGCCCTGTGGTCTCCTGTCAGCTCCTCAAAAGCTAAGGGTTCTAGTCCACAGCCCTAGCAGTCTGGCCCCAGCCATAAAGACGACAACAGGCTACGCCGGGCAGCAGTAGCGCACACCTTTAAACCTTTAATCTCAACACTCGGGAGGCAGAGGCAGGCCTGGGCTACAGAGTGAGATCCAGGACAGGCACCAAAACTACACAGAGAAACCCTGTCTCAAAAAACAAAACAAGCAAACAAACAAAAAACCCACAGGCTAATGGCCAAAGGTGGCCAGGAAAAACTGAGACGTGAAGCTTGTACAAGGGAACTTGGTAAGCCCTCTGGGGAAACCCCCCTCCCTCCCTAGCAGGTTCTGTGGCCTGGGTGATTGTTGAATCCTGCTATGACCACCTTCACCGAAGGCCTGGTGCACCAACCTGAGAGTGACCTGGCTGCTCCATACCCCACCCTCCCTGGTCCACTTAGACTGCTGGCTGGGCATGTAGACCCTACAGGAGGCTCCATGTCCAAAAGGGGTCTCTGGAGGGTTAGGCCAGCCTTCTGGGACATTGGGCTTCATGGACACAGCCTCATTGGTGAGTAAAAGCAGGAGCCCTGAGGGTAAGGAATCCTGCTGTTCATCCTGAAGACGCAGCCCCATATATCAGGTGATATTCCCAGGCACGGGCTTGATTCTGTTCCCAGTACCCAGTACCCAAGTTCCCAGACACACTACCAAGACCAAGAGAGCACTCTCCAACTGTTAGCCCTAACCCTACCTTTCACCTGCTACACGAGTGGACAGGACAAAGCTCTTCTCGACACTACCAGCAGAGAGCGCCCACACCTCATGAGTTAGAAGAGCCGATGAGGCTGGCAGTGGGAGATTGGAACTGACATTTCTTAGCACTGGCCCCTCCAGAAAACAAGAATCTGGGTCATTTATGGCCAGCATTTTCTTCCTGAGGGTAAGGACCCCACACGTACACTTTCCTAGGAAGGAGACTGAGGGTGTTGTAACCAGGGAGAAGCCTGGCACAGCTACCCGCTCCTTGATCTTGTTCCCCACCACTTGCCTCCAAGACGGCTTTGTCTAAGGCTAAGCTGGGGAGAGAGACGGGGTCAGAAGTCGTCTGTGCCCAACTGAGATCCTGACCTCCAATCTCATCCAGCTTCATAGAGTGGAATAAATTGTCAGGACCCAAGGTGGCTTTGGGAAGCTCATCACCATCTGTACCCAGGTCCTGGGGGTTAGCCTCTGCTATCTATTCCCCACTCTTTTCCCAAAGGCTAAGGGAAAATTTCCCGAGGTGAGTGAGCAGAACTCAGAATTGTGGTCCTAACCAATGAGGTGCAACTGCTGGACTTTAACAAGTCATTAGCCACTTCTCATTTGCTCAAAGGGACTAGCTCTTGCCTTATTTACTCCAATTAAACAAGATAATGTTTTGAAATTATGAAGTATACAGCCTTGTGTAAGCTTAAGGAAGACCTAGAACTGTAGTCTCAAGCTTGAGGCATGGAGGGGGGGCACAATTGTGAGGCCAGATCCTTCCTAAAATTGTCTAGTGGCTGCTCCCCAAACATTTCAAGGTAGTTGGGCAGTTGTGGCCACGCCTTTAATACCAGCACTCAGAGACAGAGGCAGGTGAATCTCTACAAGTTCAAGGCCAGCCTGGTTTACAGAGGGAGATCCGGGACAGCCAAGGCTACACAGAGAAACCCTTTCTGAGAAATAAACATCCCAGGGTAAGGGCAGACCATCCCCTGATGTTTTTGTTTAGTTGGTTTTCTAAGACAGGGTCTCTCTATGTATCCCTAGCTGGCCTGAACTTGCTTTGTAGACCAGGCTGGCTCAGACTCAGAGACCCACTTGCCTTTGCCTCTGGCACACACCTCTAGTCCCTGCAGAGAGAGGCCTGCACCACCACACCACGCCCAGCCTGCTCTAAGGGTGTGTGTGTGTTACACCTGCAAGTCTGTCTGTCTATCTGTACCTCATGTGTGCCTGATTCTCCAGACGCCAGCAAAGGGCATCAGATACCCTGGAATTGGAGTTATAGTTTGAGTCACCATGGTCCTCCAGAAGAACAGCCAGTGCTGCTGAGCCATCTTTCCAGCCCTTTACAAGCTGTTTAAAAAATAATTTTATTTACATTTATTTGACTGCTTATTGATGTGTGCTGATCTGTCACATGCATGAGGTGCCCATGGAGGCCACAAGAGGGAGTCAGAGCCCCTGGAACTGGAGCTACAGGCAGTTGTGAGCCACGTGATGGGGTGTTGAGACCCACACTGGTTCCTCCGAAGTGTAGCAAATGCTGCCTAAGCCACCTCTGGAACTCATTACCAGGTTTTAAGTTCGTAACTCAGGCCACCACCCCATTTTCTTCATTCTCTTGCCTCAGCCTCCAGCTAATCGGCCCCGTGAGCCTCTGCCTCTCGGAATGAAATGACCCAGATGCTGCAGGCTAGCAGCCCCACGTCAGGTTTCAGTGCAGATTTATTTCAGTTTTATATTTTATTCCAGGCAAGTGCTTATTACATGGATAGTATTCATGTCTCAATACCTAAAGTCTCAGAGCATGAACAGCCACTAGAATACAGTTCAATAGTAAAAATACAATATGTACAAAATTAGGGTTTTTGTAGTTTTTTTTTTTTTCCCACACAGCAGATGTACCCAAACACATAAAAATCTCTACAGTCTGGGGTCGCTACAATTCATATTTCAGGAAACAGAGACACAGTGACCGAGTCCTCACTGTAAACAAGGGCCACCTCTTTGGGGACTGGGAGTGGGACCCTGGGATTGGGGGAGAAGCAGCTGTTCCTAGAGAGAGGCTATGGTGACCCAGCTACCCTCCAGGCATTCTCTGCCCTTCTTTGGCCCCCAGGGAACCACTCCCCCCTTTTCCTCCCCGAGGTAAAGATCCCAGGCAGTGAGCCACTCCAATCAGCACAGGTAAAACACGCATGAGAGGTAAGGTGTGTGTGTGTGTATGTGTGTGTGTGTCCCAGGCTGGAAGGGATAGGAAGGGAAGGGCCAGGCGGTCCCACAGGGTGAGGACAGATGTGGTCCTAACAGCTCTCAAAGGGGAGATGCCCAAGAAAGGGCTGGGAGGTGGCTGCCCACTTGGGCACACAGCAGTCACAAACAACAAAAACAGCAACAACACCCATCATCACCAATCTGGACATCGTCATTCGGCACTAGATCTGGAGGAACCCCTGGTGGGGGGAGGGGGTGGATGATGAGGTATCTGTGCAGGCCTGCAGGCCAACACGATGGTGTGAGCTCTGGAACTGGCCTCAAGACACAGAGAGGGACAAAGGGGGTGGGGTGGGGGCAATTCATCACGTGGTCTGACTGTGCCAGCACCAGACCCTGCTCTGGCACAACAGAGCAGAGTGGAGGTGGCCCCCAGAGGCAGGGTGTGGGTAGGGGTGGCTGCAGCCACAGGAAGGCAGCCAGCTTGTGGGGTTAGGATTTCTGCGCTGGGATAGGGACCTGGTCCTAGCCACCATTCCCTACCCCAGGAGACGTAATAAAGTGCCCTGGAGGTCTCCAGGGCCAGAAGGACCTGTGAGTTCTTAAGCATCTGAGGAAGTCACTATTTCAAGGGAGAATGTATTCAAGACCTTCACTGGCCTCAGTGCCCTGCTCACATGTCATCTGAAGGACCCTGAGCCCTCCTTCTGGCCCCCCAACTTACCCCAGTGCAAGCTTCACGCCTAGGGACACTTGCTTCCTGCCCCACACCGAAAGGCCATTGGTGAGTGTCCAGTGGGGAGCTGAATGTGCACACGTGTAACTGAGTGTCTGACACAAGGCCACTTAGAATAAATATCCACTTAAAAAGAGAAGCCGAAGCGGCCTGCGAGCGCAGAGGCAGGAGACACAGCATCCCTAAGCACAGGACTCCTCACTCTTGCCAGTCCTGACGAGCCTTGTCTTAGCCCAGCAAAGGCCCTTTCCACAGTGGACAGTGCAGCACCCACCAGGAAGGGGCCTCAAAATTGCCACTCAAAGCGGGAGATGGGAAAAGCCCCGGGATTTCAGCTCGCTGATACCTCAGCAATGCGGCTTAGTTCCCAGAACCACGGCTGGTCCCTGCTTCCCAAGCTGAAGGCAGGACCGAAACCCAGAGGCCTGGGGAAGCACTGGGCAGAGCAAGGAACCAGGACAGAGAGTGCCAGGTCCAAGGATGGAACCTCCCGGGCCTCGCAGGTGGGAGGCAAGGCTGCCAGACCCACCTCCCCAGCCCGAAGCTCAGCCTGCTCTGGAGAGGTCAGGAGCCCAGGGGCAGGTGTGGAAAACTTGACAACAGCCTACATTTTGTTTATTGTTGGTTGAGACTCATTTTAAACAGTTTCTACTGTGACCAATCACAGTGACTCCATCCAGGTGGATCCGAGAGCCCCAGGCCCAGGTATTCACCTGTCTTAGCCTGACTCCAGATCTTGGGATCTGTCAGCTGTCCTCAGAGCTGGGCCCCTCTCCACCCAGTCCTCACTTCTCTGGGGCTCTGTTTCCTACACAGAAGTCCCAGAGGACTCTGAGGCTGGGGAGGGAGGCCGGGAAGCTCAGCCACCTCACCAGACAATAGCAGCAGCAGCACAGGAAGGCAGACCGGGGAAGGAGAAGCCAGAGAACACAGCCACAGCGCAGACTTCGGGGTGGACAAGGTAGGGAGGCAGGAGTGGCACCAGGGCTGGCACCAGGCTGGGCAGGCAAGTACGTCCACCAAAGCGTCCTCATGTCTACCGAGTCCTAGTGCGGCAGGACAACTTCCTGCCTGCACCCAACTCCCTGGAGGGCCCCTCCCCTGGCTCAGAGTCTCTGCACCCCCTTCCCCTAGGAGGCCTGGGGGTGGTGTGGGTGGGGCGGGCCTGGCTGGAATGTGTGGAGCTGGTGGGTGGGAGAGGGGCAGTCGGGTCCCCCTCCCCTGCCCCCACTGGGGGCCTAAAGGGCCTCATCCTCAAGCCAGCTTGAGTGTGCTGACAGGAAAGGAGGGCATAGTGACCATAGTCACAGGGTTGAGCACTGTCTGGCCCACCAGCTGGGGGTGGTGTACCACCTGGGCCCCCACGGCTGGCTTGGCCATGACAGCGGCCGGAGGGCCCAGCCCGGCTGTGCCGTTCACTTGCTGGTGCGAAAGGGTGTGGGCGATGTGGCTCACTGCCACAGGCTGGCTCACCGCCACAGGCTGTGGGTACAAGGGCAGCTGGGAGCCGAGGTGGGCCACATGGTTGAGGGTGGCCGGGTGCACTGTGATGTGGCCAATGGGGGGTGTGGCGGGTGCCAGCTGCACAGCAGGGCTGGGGGCGGAGGGGGCGATGTGGGCGATGTGCTTGCCCCCCGGGCCCTGCAGAACGTGGTTCACAGTCTGGATGACTGAGGCGTGGGTGGTGGCCGTATGGGCGATAACTGTGGAGCCTCCTCCAGCCGTGGCCACAAGATGGGCTGGAGCGGGCACTAGCGTCTGGGTCGGGGTGGCTGGGGGGGGAGGAGGGGCTGGCAGAGGGGTTTTCTGCTGTGGCGGCGGCTGCTGTGGCTGCGGCTGCTGCTGCTGCTGCTGCGGTGGCGGTGGTGGTGGCTGCTGCGGCTGCTGCTGCTGCTGCACAGGGAGGTGGGCAGGAGACAGGGCCACGGAGTGGGGATGGGGGTGCGGGGGAGGAGGCAGAGGCGCAGAGGCGGGGCTGGGGGTTGGCAGGGTGGATTTCAGCAGCTCCAGCTGGGGTCGATGGTTCAGCTTAGGTGGGCCTGCCCGGTCTTCCTCCATATCCTCGTCTATGTTGTCCTCGCCCTCTGTCAGGGAACACAGGGCAGGGGGCGGGTCAGAAGAGCTCGGGGAACAAGTGGCTGGAGGCCAAGGTGTCCTTGGAGGTCAGTATGCTGGAGCTGGGACAGATGGCCTCTTTTCCAGCAGGGAAAAACCTCAGGGAAGCTAAGGACAACATTTGAGGGTGACAGGACCAGCAGAGGGGCCGAGGCTCACCAGAGGCTGTGGAGGTGGAGGCTTGGTCATCCTCAGGCTGGCCTGTCTGCCGGAGCACACGGTCAATCTCCAGTACATCCATCCACTGGCTCAGCTCATGCTTGAGCTCTGCCAGGCGCTGCTGCGTGGCAATCTTCTCCCGTGCCAGCCGCTCCATCTCATGCTCATATTCTTTCTCCTTCCTCTTCAGGGACTGGGGACAGGGCAAAGGACAGCAGAGTGCCCTTAGCAGCAGCCACAGGCTCCATGGCCCTCAAAACTTCTGAACCAGTGGCTCTCAACTTTCCTAAGGCTGCGACCCTTTAATACAGTTTTATGGTTGTGGTGACCCCAACCCTAGAATTATTTCATTGCTACTTCGTAACTGTAATTTTGCTACTGTTATGAACTGAATCATAATGTAAATAGCTGATCTGTGCCCCCCAAAGGGGTTGCGACCCACGGGTTAAGAACCACCATTCTGCAGTGACCAAAGCAGCTGGGAGACCACACTTGCCTCCTCTTCCATCACTCTGCCCAGTGAGGACCAGCATCTGAGTCACTGGGCGCCTAAGCAGGCACCCACCAAAAGCTAGCACAGATCCAAGTCCCAGGGGACCCTTCTGCACACCACCCTGACCGGGTCCTCAGGGACTTCAGTCTCAACCCACCTCACTCCCGCAGCCTCCACTATCACTCAGCTCACTCTGTTCACTCACTGAGGCGACAGTGACCCTCCTTGGTTCCCTCCTGCAATGACCGACACTCCTCTCTACCACCGCTCACGGTTCCCTGCTTCCTGGTCCCTGGAAGGTTTCTCGCTAGACTGACAGCCCGGTTCCCATCACAGGCTTCTACCTGCCTGGCCCCAACGCCGGACCCGTTCCTCCCCCGACCTCAGCGGCCCCTCAGCTACCCATGCTTCCTCTCCAGCTCGCAATTCACACTGCCCCCCACTCAGGAGCGGCCCACAACCCTCCAGACCTCAGAGGATATCGAAACTGAAAAACCTGTGCTGTGCCCTACTGGCCAACAATAAAGGATCTTGGGGAGTTCCACAGTACCCCAGGTCTGACTGCACACCTCTAGGGAGTTTTCACCTCAAGGTCCAGGCCAGCCCTTCCTCACCACAGATATCCCTGCTTCCCTCAGAACACAGGAGGGTCTTCCTTACTGACAATGCCTCTTCGATACTCAGCCCCGCCCAGTCCGAAGCCTCACTGCGTCTCCTCTGCATACACAAAGGCCAGCTCATGCCCCAGTTTCAGCTGCCTTCTAAAGTAAAGTGCCTGCCTGCGTGATCTCCAGACCCCGACACTTTGGCCCACCTCTTGTCTCCCAGCCTAGGAAGGTCAGCCCTGCTGTGTCCATCAGTCAAGGCAGGCACTACCAGGGCTGACTCCAGAGTCCATTTCTCAACCTGCTTCTGAACATCTAACTCCAAAGCATGGGGTCACCGCAGGTGCAGAGGCCACAGGCACCCCACACACTAGCTTGTCTGAACCCTGCCTTGCTGTTCCCACATGGATCCCTGCCTTCACTCCCCGACCCCGTGTGTGGGGTTCTGTCTGTCTGTCGGTCTCCATGATACTTACTTGCAGGGGAGGGGACACAAGTCACGTGCTACAGTGAAAGTCACGTCAGAAAACAAAAGGGTTTTTCTCAACTTCTCTACTGTAGGTCCCAGCTGACATGCTTGGCTCCTTCACCGAGACCCTTCACCAGCCCACCCCTGGCCTCTTGACTTCTAGACCACACCCAAGTCCCACTCTCCTCCATTATCCCTCCCCAGCCCAAGGCCTTGTCAGCATACCCTCCTGCCTCAGTCTCTCCCAGTGACCCTACTGCGTATCTGAATGGAGTGTGTCGCTAACAGAATGGAGTCTGTCCAATGGGGCTTCATTAGCCCCGGCTCACTGGACCACGGGCTGTTCTACAGCCAGTTTACATCCCTGACCACATCAGTGACCAGTAGCATGCTTACTCAGGCCGCCAAGGATCTATAAGTCTGCCACCCTCCTATCAGGGTGTCAGCCTCTACCCCATCTTCCCTTCATCAAAGGGAATGCAGACTCATGATCTAGCAGCAGCTCGGCTGCTTCTCCCGGCTGGGTACAGCATCACATCCAACCCCACTTCCCCACACTCCTCCAGTGGCCCCAAGCTCTGGACATTCCTTATGCGGTGAGCAAAAGCTTCACACTCTCAACGCCTGCAACACCAGGCCCAGAGCCGTGCCACGCCGGCCTCGGCATACCTGTCATTAGTTCCACGCCACAGTCCCCCATGTACCACCCCACTTCAGTTTATCCTGCTTCTCCTATTTCTGCTAGAAACAGTAGGAAAGACCTTGTCTTTATCCTAACACACATGGCACCTCTGTGTCCTCTCACCTGGCTCTGTCCCTGAGAGCTGCACATGACATCAGAGGAGGCCACATCAAGCACAGGCCCTGGGTGACTCAGTCCTCACTTGAACCTTCAGACTGTTGGCTCCAAGCGCCATCCTCAACTCTATCCACTGCTTGTAGGGAGGCTAGACTCTGGGTGAGGGGGCCCAAACACCCCCTTTCCACAGAGTTCAGCCCACAGGCCTAGAGACCCCTGCAGACCTCCCCGAGTCCACCCATAGTCCACATGGCTCCACCTGTTTCGTGGTGCTAGCAATGAAGTCCACAGCCGCAGGAGTGCTGGGCAAGTTCTCTTCTGAGCTGAAGCTCCCTGTCCCCCGGGCTTTGTTTCAAACCCACTTATTTTAGGTGTCGATCTGGACACATGTCTATTATTCTTGTCTCCGTCCACTTCACTGTGGCCTTCTTCAAGTCCTTCACTACCCCAAGCAACTTTGGAGACCACCTCGACACCCTCCTCTAACACCCCCTGCCCTTAGACAAGACAAGGCTGTACTATGCAAGCCCAGCTGGCCTGGAACTCAGATCGGCCTGCCTCCCCTGCAGAGGCATCAGGCAGGCCTTCCTCCCCAGCCCTTCTCTTGTGAACACACCACCAAAGCCCTAGCTCCCTAAGGCCCAGAGCCAACCTCCAACCCTCTTCTAGTGCCTGTTGCCTCTCTGCAAGACAAGTCACCCTCCTACCATCTTGTACATCCAAGCATACCTCTCCCTCGTTCCTGCTGAAGAAACCACCACTCTGTCCTGTGCTGTGCCTCACTCACCCAGATGTAGCTGTCCTACAGGCCTCTGCAAATGTCCTTTCCCGAGCACTTTCCTGACGCCCCAAAACAGATCCCGCCACCCCACAAGACACAGTCCTTGGAACGTTCACATTTAGGATCTGCTGCAGGTCCTAATTTACCAGGACAAAACTCATCCCTTTTTCTTTTGGTCTCTGGTCCTCAGAAGCAGACCCAGGGCATGACCAAAAACATTTAATGAAATAAATGGGTACCACACCGGGTTTCCACAATCTTTTTTGTTTGGTTTTTCCAGAAAGGGTCTCTCTGTGTAACAGCCCTGACTGTCCTGGAACTCACTCTGTAGACTAGGCTGGTCTCAAATTCACAATGATCCGCCTGCCTCTGCCTCTCAAGTGCTGGGATTAAAGGCCTGAGCCACCCATCACCCCGCTGGGTTTCCCAAGTCTTGTGACTTCTGTTTCTGCTTCCATGATCAGCACCAATCAAGCCTTCTCACGGACAGCCTGGGGCCCCTCCACTTCCTCGTCAGTTGAGGCCTGATTCTAAGGGAGCTTCCTTCAGCGGCTTCCACAGCAGCGAAGATATTTTCAAATCCACACATTATGCAAAGCTCCCTTCCCCAGGCACACATCTATAAAAAGACACTTGTCTTGCTCCAGCTCCTTCCTACCTCGCAGTCACAATCCTATTAATATTTAGAGACCGCAAAATTTTTTTTGCATAAATTCCAACTCTTCTACCATCTCTATGGTACTATTTTTTTCGACTTAGCATCACACCAAATGAGGAAACTGATACTCAAAGGAAATGTCACGGCGTCACGGCAGAGGTGTGCTAAGAGACTGCTTTGATAAAAACAAGTGAATTACGCCCAAGCCCAAAGTCAGTAAAATTATCACGGAAATAAGCTCCAGGACACTGCACAGCCTGCGCCGGGCCCCTTGGCCCCGCAAGCGAGGCCCCGCCCCTCCGGGGCACGCGCGCACCCACGCGGACCTGCCCGCTGCGTCACCGCGGGCGGCCGGCCGGCCCCGCCCCCAGCTGCCGGGAAGCTCCGGGAGGCGGGCAGGGAGGCGGGCAGAAAGGCGCGCGCATCGGCTGGCGGCTCAGAGGCGCGGCCTGGGGCCCCGAGCACCAGGTCCGGTTACCTCCAGGTTGTGACCGAGCTACGGAAGCCCCGCTGGAGGAGTACGGGCACCCCTCCCACGGAAGCTGTGATGCAGCCTCGCTCCCGCGAGCATCCCGCGTGGGTGGACGGAAACCCCGATGCTCGCCCTGCACCCCCCTCCCCCGTGCACTCCCCGCGCGCGCGCGCGCACCACCGCCGCCGCCGCCGCCGGGAGCGCTAGGTCCCTCCCATTCCCCAACGGTTTGGTCTCCCGCGCCGCCCAGCCCGGCCGCGCCCATCCCCCCCGCCACCTCCCGGGCACGCGGAACCCTACGCGGTTTCCAGGGCGACAGCAACTTCGCACTGCCGCGGAGAGGGCCGCCAGTGCCCGCGGGGAGAGGCGACATCACCAGCGGGGGACCCCCTTCCCAGCACTCGCGGGAAGGAAACAGTTAAGGCGCAGTGGCCCCGCGCGGTCACCCGGGCAGCCTCAGGGCCCCACCCCGACCGTAGTCCTGAGCGCTGCCAGGCGAACGCAGACACCACGTCCCTCCCGATTCATTCCCGCCCCCCGCCACCAGTGACCGCCCGAGTCCGGGTCTCGCCCGGGCACTGCGGGTTGGGAGGTGCCGGTGGGCCAAGCTGCGTGCCCTGGTTACGCGCGGGCCGAGCAGACGCGGTGCGTGGGGGAGGGGAAGGCCGAAAAGTGCACGGCCGCCGCCGCCGCCGCCGCCCTCTCGCGCAGGCGCCCTCCCGCCCGCCCCCTCCCGGGCTGGGAGCCCCGCTGATGTCAGCCGGGCCATGTGCTCAGCGCCCGCGTGGAGGCGGGCGGGGGAGCCTGCCGGCAGCAGGAGGAAACTGGCGCTGCGGCCGTCACGGCAGCGCCCAGCCCTGCCTCCTCCCTCCCTCCCTGCCTCCCTCCCTCCCACATACCTGGATGTACCGCAGCGCCGTCCGCAGCACGCTCAGATTCGACGTCTTCTTGTCGTCCACGTTGGGGATGTTGCGCTTCAGGGTCTCGAAGCATTCCTTCAGATGGGCCCTCCTGGGGAAAAGGGGTGAACGCTGGTCAGCCAGCGCCCCGAGGGCACAGGGGCAGGAGGCCAGGCCCGGGGCAAACACAACAGAAGCTCTGGGGGGGAACCCCGTGCTGGGTGGGTGAGTCCGGGAGGGGCGGGCCCAGAGTCACACTCCCAAGTGTGCACACACACCTGTTTTTCTCCAATTTGTTGTGGACTTCTCTGGTTCCGATCCTGAAACCCAGACAAATAGGAGGCTCAGGGAGGAAGGCCCAGATCCGGCCTTCCGGACCCACACCACCCATACCCCCCACTGACCAGGTGTCCTAGGCTTTTTTGTCCCCGACATTCTCTCGATAAACTGGAAGTGTTGGCCCGGTGTTGGGCCCATCCACCTCCTGGAGGGGACCTCTATGATCAAAACCTATGGCCCCTGGAACTCTGCATCCCACTGGTCCAACTAAGGCAAGGGATCCTGCAGGGGTTCTAGAATCGACCTCCGGCAATGGCCTGGAAATGCCTGCCGTGGTCTCCAGCGTTGCCGCTAAGAACAACCATCAGCAGGATAGTGCCTTATTACGAGAGGTATCTCTAAGTGGCACGGGACATTCCCCAGCGGGGGCTAGCTGGCCAGGGCAGCTTCTCTTGCACTCCCGGCCCATGCTGGACGGTCTCCCATCCAACCGGCCCCTCTGCCGCGCCCCACTCACCCCCCAGGCCGCTTCTTTTGTTCACTGGATTTGGCTTCTTCAGCTGGTGCCAACTTCAGGGTCCCAAGCGTGGGCGGGGGCGGCTGCTGGGGAGCCAGCTGAGGCTGGACTCCAGGGTGTGGCGCAATGGTCAGGATGGGCGTAGGGAGGGGCTGCAAAGGCTTGGGGCTGCCAGTCGGTGCGACGACGGTGGTGGTGGTCTTCGGATCAGGCAGTAGCGGGGCAGGGGCGGGCACCTGCGGCCTGGTGGGCAGGGGGGCTGGCTCCTTAATGCTGAGTCCAGGGGTGCTGACCAGGGCCGGCTGACGAGGTGCCAGGGGCAGAGGCTGGGCCGCCGGGGGCAGAGGTGGAGGCGGGGGCAGGGACTGTGGGGAGTTGGTCACTACAGGAATAGGGATGACGGTCAGCGGGGCAGGGGCGGGCAGCGGCGGCGGCGGCGCGGGCGGTGGTGCCGGTGGCGACAGGGGTAGCGGGGGAGCCTCGATGCGGGGTTCCTCCACGGGCAGGGCATGGGCCAACCTGGCCAGGCTACTTGCCCTCTTCTGCTCCTGCTCTCTCTCCCGTTCCCGCTCCAGGCGAAGGCGCTCCTGCTCCTCTATGCAGAGAGAACACACGGGGGTCTCAGCAGAGCCCAGGGTCCTGGGCCCCCATCTACGCCTGTCCTCCAACCCTAACTTCGTCCCATCAGGGCTCAGTGACATCCTGCCCTGCCTGACACACCAGACACAGCAAGGCAGCACTAACAGACACCAGCCTGGCCCCCTGCCCCTGGGGACCTCACGTCCTGGGGCAGGGAGTGGGGCAGCAAAGGAACGGGGGTGCCAGGCTGGCTTCGGGGAAGACAGGGGTTCACGAATGGGATGCTGGGGGCCCAGCAACCTAGAGCTGGATGTGCAACTAGATAGGTAACCAACAGGAGTATCCAGAAGGGCATAAGGCTAAGGTGTGCACAGGGATGGATGAGGTCTGGGCTGGCAACAGGCCAGACCACCACAGGGGCATGGGGCCATCCACAGAATTGACCCGGCACCTGTTGGAGAGCGGGCGGTACCTCTGTTTCACAGAGAGACCAAATGATTCGCCGAGTTACACAGCAGGTCTGCTGCCCAGCCAGATGCCCTGTTGCTCACTGTAAGCTCACTAGGTGTCCTCTCACATCCACACCCCCAGTTCTCACAAGAGCCCCAGGTTACAGGGCAAACCCCTCACATTTACTTCATGAGAACACGGCCTGCTAAGCCAAAGGCCCCAACTTTTCCTCCGAGAGCAGTGAGTCCAGCTGTTCTCCCAACATGTTAGGACCCATGTCTCTCAGGCCAGGCTGTCCCTTGTCCAGGACCACTTACAGCAGGAACAGCACAGTTTAGACAGGCGGAGGCAGGCAGAAGGGAGGACCAGCCAGGTAAAGGCAGCAGAGGTTGAGCAGGGCCACTGAACTCAGGCAACCTTCATGATCACATCCCTCAGCATCTCTAGTGAGACCCACTCAAGAGCGGGACCAAAGTGGGACCGGCCGCTATCCAGGAACCGGCTTCTCTCAGGCCCCACCCTAGGCTCCCTGGCCAGGGCTTTTGTTCAGGGCTGGGTCACCATCTCCCAGGTAAGGGAAGCAGCCCAGACCCTTCTGCTTGTGGTGTCAAAACTGTTGACAACAGAGGGCGGACACACCCTGAGCAGGATCATGTGATGTGGGGCTGGAGCTAACTCCTCCCTAGGGAGGAGGGGCACAGTCCCCTCAGGTCTTCCTAACCCAAAAGACCCCATGGTCTTCTGGGCTTGGAACAGCGTAAGGAGGAGCCCCACCTCCAGCCCCACAAGACAAGGAAGGAGCCGAGGAGGAAGCTGAGGGAGGAAGTGTTTGGAAGGAATCATAAACTGTTTCCCAGCAGCCCGAGTTCAGGCCTCTTCCCATCTCCCCTGCCCTTCAGGAAGGGGAGGACAGGCTTACTCCAACGAAGAGGCCTTGCTCACCCGGGCGGGTCTCTCTGTCAGCACTTGACTTAGGTTCCTGCAGCTCCCCACAAACCACAGTGGTAAAGAAGCCTGTGGAGTTCCAACTTCAGAGCCCTTCCTCTGGCTGGCCTGGAACAGATCTGGCCCACACACTTTAAACTCAGGGCCTAATAAAGCTCCTTTGACTGATCCAGTTTTGTTTTTTTTAAATCTTTATTTTGTGTTAGTGAGGGCACACACAGGTCAGAGGACCACTCTCAGGGTCTCAGAGGTTCTGTCTCTCCTCCCACCATGGGTTCCTAGGATCGACCTCAGTCAGGCTTTCTCTGGCGCTGCTTGCTCACTGGCCTGGGGACAAGTGTTTTAAGTCACCACAGGTGGAGGGGCCCAAAGCCAGGTACTGGACTGGAAGCTAAGTCTGTACTTCAAGCTCCTCTAGGAGACAGCAACCCCCTCCCCCCTCCCCCCTCTCTTCCAGAGCCACCACGAAGCCACGCTTCCCAGATACCAGGAAGGACTCACTGAATGAGCTCCACCACACCCAGCATTGTCAACCCTAACCGGACAGCAGAGGCTGCTCCACGACCACCCCAGCCCCCTAGAGCTTCCCTCCCCTGGTTCTGCCTCCTTTCCTACCCAGGGTCCCCTCCCAGTGACGGACAAACTGTGCTTCTTAGGTCATCTTACGGAATGTTCTGACCCACAGGTGTCCTCCTCTCACATGCGTGCACACCCACACCTACCTCCTCCAGGCTCCACCCAGGCACCAACCCGGTGAATTAGCAAGACCCTCCGGGCTGGGAGAGCACAGGCCTTGTCTGCCTACAACCTTGCTTGCTACTGTGGTCTCATGTGTACAGGACTTCCCCCCTTCTGGATGCCACCAGAGCTTGGCACAGAAGGCAGGCTCAGAGCAGGGCAGGTGCCGGGCACCTCTGCACACACCAGCCAGCTCCCTCCCATCAAGGTAGGAGACCATCTCAAGTCATCTCCACACAAGCTGGCAAAGGCCTGCCAAGTCCTCCTCCGGGCGCCAGCACGGCCCTGCCCTTCCCTCTCTTCTCCCTCACAACTGCTTACATGTGCGGCACATCCTTAGGTCGTCTGTCATGTGAGCAGACTGGTCTGCAAGGCTTGACCTTGCCTTGTAGGTGGGAACGGAGAGGCTAAGAGACTCCCTGCTCAGAGCTGGTTATCTGAAGTAAGTACCTCCGTAGGGGCAGTTCTGCTCGACATGCTGGTGTCAGCTACAGGGCAGGGGTCTTAACCCGTGGGAACCAAATCTGGCCTTCTCTGTACTCGAGGCCGCCTGGGCTTCCCAGTACCCACCCATCTTCTAAGACTCTGTGATCCATTATCAGGCAGCTGAGGCCTGGGAGCCGAGCTCTGCTTCTCCCCAGAGCTCCATCCTCGGAGGGAAGAGAAGGGCCGTGCAATTCCCTCAGAGGGCTTTTCCTACGCTCTTCTGCAGAGCTGGGACCCCCAACCCCCTCCAGCCCCCTCCACCTGACCGGTCAGCTCTGGGCTAATTGAACAAGTGTGAACACACGGCTGTAGAGGCCTTCTCGCTGTTCTAGATACCCCGGAAGGTTAATGTGAAATAAGAGTTCCCTAGGGGCAACAGGAGGGTCGGTCAATCCTGTTCACCTCTCTCAGACTGCCTGGTCCACAGTGGGGTATAACGGGTACTCCTGAACTGCACCGTGTATTGATGGTAGCGGCGGGTGACTCGTTCTCTCCAAACTCTTCAGGTCGCCCCCTGCCCACATCCGCCGCTGAAACCACACACTTGTCATTCTGGTTAACCACCAGCACTGTCCACTGCTTGACCCTGCTCGGGGGCCCAAAGCACAAGGGGGAGGGGCGCGAGGGTCGATGATACCCCAGAGCAGCTGCTCGGCACCAACCCGAGCACTGGTCTTGCACGACTCCAGTGACTCCTGACCTTGAGAGGCTGGTGGCTGTGACGAGGCCCCGCAGCTCCTCCGCCCCTTGCCGGCTAGCTACCACTCCGCCCGCCCGCCCGCCCGCCCGCCCGCCGGAGCGGAACAAGCTGCAGGCGCGCGGGCGCGAGCGCGAGCGAGCACACACACAACACACGCACACTACTACCTCCTGCATGACTCATCATTGAAGCAACAATAGGCAGAAAGAAAGGAAAGGAGGGCGAAGAACTCTCTCTCCACCACAACACTGCCGGCTGAAGGGTTCTGAGGAAGGGCAGGGGAGCCAGGGATCCCCGGGAACTGCACATACATTGCAGAACGGGGGCCCTCGCAAGCGTCTGGGAAGCTGAGGTCTTTTCCCTTCAGCCTCTCTTCCAGCAGCACTCGAAGGCTAAGGACCACAGCCAAAGGGGGTGGAGGGCCGGATCATAAAACCGGCGTCCGTCCTCTCTGAGGGCGAGCCAAAGTTTGCCCTTCTCACCCTGACTTATTGCAGGGTGGCCGGGGTGTTGCCAGAAGGGCTCGGGGACACCGTTAGTGGGTCAGTGAGAAGACGTGAGCTGTCGATGTCACCCTGAGATTCTGAGGGTTTCCCTCACTACAGGATCACAAACAGGAGGATCCAGCCAGAGCCAAGGTGAACGTAGCTCCTCCTACCCAGGGCAAAGGCTCTCCCTGGGAGACGGCCAGCAACCGGAGCCCGAGCCCAACCCGACTCAAGGCCCCTCGCCAGCCCCGCCCAGGCCCCGCCCCCGGGCCAGCGCGAGGCTGCCAGGAGGGGCCGGGCCGCTCCGTCCCCAGCGGGAGTGTCCCCCGTGCACGTGGTCGGGGGCGGGACCTGCCTACGTCACCAGTCCGTGTAACCAACGGGCTTGGGACGCAGGCACACGCAACATTCCAGCCAAGAGCGGGTTTGAAACGCGCAGACACGCCACATTCCACACCGGCTAAAGCAGGGCAAGGCAGGGGGGCCTGGGGGCTGCCCCCAGCGACCCGCGGGACACTCACATGCACCCAATCAGCGCAGCTTCCAGCCAAACCTAGACGTGCGACCCAGCCCAGCTCTGGGAGGCGGGGTCAGGCGGGGCTGGCCAAGATCATAAGACACGCGATGTCATTTCATTCTGCAAAGGCCGCCTCCGCCCGAAGCAGCGCGTAGATCTGCCGGGAGCGTTTCCCGCACCCTCCTGCCGGGGCCAGGGAATCCGGAGAGCTGCTCCGCGTAGAGTATTCCCCACCCCCACCCAGTTACGCACACGCCCCCTCGTGTGCTGTACAAACACCCGTGTACACGTCCGTTCATCCGCTCTCTCCCGGCTCCGATCACACATCTTGATGCACACACGCACGCACACGCGGGTCTGCCACCCCCACACATCAACATCCCTCTCCCCATCCCCCGGTTCACACATCCTCAATGGTATCCAGGGCGCCGCCCGCCCACACCTAAGGAGCCCCCCACTGAAGGTGTACCGGGGGGTGCCAGGCAGCTAGGGTGGCACCCGCAGAAGCTGGGTCCCTCTTTGCATGTTAATGGATTCATTAATTATTTTCACTGCTCGCATCACTCCTTCGGGACGGCAGCTCTTGCGGGGAGCCCGTGCTCTACCCGGCTTTTTAGGTCGCGCCGTAGAGGGACCTGCCTGCTATTTCCAGTGGGTTTGGGGATCGGGGTCACTGGCCTCCCCTTTTGCCCAGTGCCCCAGGGGCCCAGCCGGGCCGCTCACCACGTGCTCTCTGTTGTTGCTGCGCTTGCCATTCCAGGAAGCGGGCCGCCTCCAGTAGCGTCTCTATGCTCATCGCGCCGAGAGCAGCCGGGGGCGCGCCGGGGCCGAGGCTGCGGCCCGCGAGCCAAGCACAGGTCAGGCTGGCGGGCCGGCAGGAGGGAGGGATCACCTCCGGGGGGCGACAGGGCTGGGCGGCGCAGCGCACTCCTCAGAAAAGAACGGGGGAGCACGGGGAGAAAAATCAATGTCTCCCAAAATATTTGCAAAATAGGAATTTGCAAATTAAAACAATTTTGATGCAAAAAACAAAAAAAGGCGGCACTGCCTTCTTCCTTCCTTCTTCCTCTTCCTCCCTTCCGATGCCTCCCGCCCCGCGGCCCCCGGAGTCCCGCCGACAAGAAAGGGCTTTGCAACAAGATGGCGAGGAGGCACCGACACACACAACAAGGGAAGGAGCCGCGCTGCCCCCGGCCGCCGCCCCCGCTACTACACCGGGGCCGCAGCCAAAGCCCGGACCGGAGCCCCCGCCCGTAGGGCCGCGGCGTCTCGCTGAGGGCGGGGTCGCGCCAGGAGTAGCCCCGCCCACCGCGCGCGCACACGTGGCTTGGGTGGGGGTGAGAAGATGGAACCAGGCTTCCGCGCTGTTTCCGCTTTCCCGCCTTGCCCCTCCCTGCTCCGCGGCCAGCCACAAGTTAAACGGGGGTTGTTGCGTGCTTGAGGCATTCACGACGAGCTCTGCTTTGCTGCGAGAAGGAACGGGAAACCCGAGGCTTCTGTGAGCTGAGACAGCGGTAGTACACGTCAGGGGAACCTACGATCCGACCCTTAGGTCTCCCCGCCCCATGTAGACACGACCTAAATCCTGCAGCCGTCCGGTCTGTCGCAATTCCCCCGGGATCCGCCCCTGGGCGGAGCTGACAGCAAGCAGCCCGAGTATTGACAGAGGGACCGGGGAGCTGATCCCGTTCCGGATTTTGTCTCTGTTCCTCCCCCCGCAGTGCGTTCGCATCCTATTAGGCTACATCACCAGGCCGCCCGCCAATGGGCGGGCAGGACAACACGGCATGGAGCAGCTCCACATGGACACCCCGCGCCGCCAGCCTTCTGTTTAAAGGGCCAGTGTCTACGGGGTCGTTTTAGCGGGTGCGGATAAGGCCACCGGGTGAACGTAGGGTGAGACACCTACAGGGGAATTCCGCAGTCCTGCTCAGGCCCATCCCCTGCTTTGCATCACCCTCCCATTCAAAACCAAGTGTTCCTTTCCTCTCCCTGAATTCTTTGTCCACTCGTGTCTGATATGGGCGGAGACTGAAAACGTGCCGTTCCAAAGGACAGCCTTCGCTGTGGTGCCGGGACAGCAGTGGTCAAAAGGCGAAGCGTCCACAGCCCAGGCCAAGGAGGCGTAGTCTAAACCAGGAACAACAACGTGGAGGGCGGAAGCTGCGCGCTACCCGGGCTGCCGGCTGTGTGCGGGGCGGGGTCGCTGCCTTGGGTTGGAGGCGCGCTCTCTCCTAGGCTCGCCAGCCAGCCTTTATCCTGGCTCTAGGGTTTAGGACCGTCCTTGGGTACAATCAAAAAGATCTTTGAAGTCAGCTTGCCCAAATCATTGCACTTCACAGATAAGAAAAGGGACGATTCCAACTGCTCCTTGTGCCGTGAGCAACTAACTCTTCCAAGTCAGGTCTGAGGCTAGACTTCTCTCACCACCACCTCGTCCTGTACCCCACGCCCCGCAAAGAGTGAAGGAGTATTAAACTACTGTGCAGAGAGGGGTCTGATGAGGACAACAGAAACGTCCCTATACCTAAAACCCAACCACACTGTTTGGGTTCTTTGGTGGAAGCCACACAATCTCCATTAACATTGAAAAGCACAGGACTATTATGGGCACCATGGAGATGATCCGATCCAATTCTGTTGTCCCAGTGCTAGGCATAAACCCTTTCCTGTCATTGTCTCAAACTCTTTGATAAACCAGTGCAGGGAGAGTGGAGACATACCAGTGTTTTCAGGATCTCGGCTCCACCACACAACACCGAAAGCAGGCCTTTGAGACCTTAGAGGCAGGCCACCTTGACAGCCCAACCCACCCACACCGTGCCCTTAAGTGTATGTATGTATGTATGTATGTATGTATGTATGTATGTACCTGCTTCAAGGGCTGCCACAATGGCCAGGATCACAGAACAAAAGAGGCTTAAGGGTCTGTCTTCCCCTTAAGGTTATCCTAGAGGGACTCCCTGTACAGCTGAATGGAGCTTTGATGTTGGTATGTTGAACTGTGTGTAGTATGTGGAACTGAGCATGAATCGCCCTTCCACAAATGTCTGGTGTCACCGACTTCATGAAGCTGGAGTAAACCATGAAAGCCCAGTCCTCTGCAGGGTAAGAAGCCTTTTCCTAAGACTAAGACGATAGGGGTGCTAGCTCTAACCCGGTTCCCCTCCCTGGTGTCAGCTACTTGCTTTGGGTGTGGCTGGGTCTGACCTACTACAGAAAACGGCGATGATACAGATGCAGGTGGTGGGAGGCCTGAGATGGCACTACCATTTTTGCATGGAACCAGCTCCATAGCCTTCACTCAGACTGCTACTTGTCCTGGCCCAACACCTGGACTTTTCTACTGGTCAAAGCCCAGTGCTTCTACTCTTGTGAGGGGCCAGTTCTGTGACACAATGACTCTTCTGAGCAGTATTTTGAAAGCACCTCTCTTCTCAGGGGAGAGGAAGCGAAAGTGGGGTGAATACAGACTTGATGGCTGGCCTTTCCCTTGCCCCCAATACCCCATCTGCTCCAGAGCTTAGCAGAGATGCTTGCTACTTAAAACAAACAGCCTTACAGGCTTCACATGACGTTTATTTGGGTCACATGGGGACAGCAGCCAGGGGATGTTAGGAGAAGCAAGGATTTAGAAAGGCTTTTGCTGGGCTTGTTGTTGCCTTTAGGAGCCTAAAAGTGGCCACCAGAATTTCTCATCAAGCAATGTTTCTGGAAGTTCAGGAGTGGACAGTGGGAGTGAGAGACACCTATAAGGAGGCACAGTAGAGAGAAATGAATGGGAGGGCTGTTTTAACATGTTTCAGTTTCCTGTTTTAATGGGTGGAGCCAGGGTATAAGTTGGCGAGCACATTCATTCAAGAGAAAGAGTCTTTTTGATGTTTCAGCACAAGCTTAGCAGGTTTGGAGAATGATGCCAGAGCCAACCATCTCCTAATACTTATTCTTCAATCTGTTACGGCTTCCGGGTGCTGAGGATGTCTGGATCAGGAGGGCAACCGGATCTTCCACCACTGTGCACTTTTTCAAACTTCTTCCTCTTGTCTTGTGCACCTCAATATCTAATCCACACCCCACAGTGCACCCTCCTTCCACGTCTACACTGGCTGACTTCCTATCTTCTCACCATTCATCCCAACAGAGTCATACATTGACAGCTCCAAGTACTATGTGAAATCACTTCCCTGAACACTTCCAAACAATAAGATGTGGGAAAGAGTATGGAGCTAAACATACGGATATTCACAGTGGATCCCAGGAGATGCCCCAACCTTTCAGCCTTGACCTGGTACCTTTTACTAGTGGCTTTAGGTAACCTTTCACCAGTCATAATTAACACAAGGGAAACATCCAGCTATAAGATAGAGGACATCAGACAGCTATGCCCAGGGACACACCAGGTAATGCTCATTTAACAAGCACGTGCTAGACAACTGGCTAAGTATCTTTACAGGCAAGGCCAGGTGATCTTTGGTAAGCGGAGTGGTGTAGGAAGTGAGAAGGTGGCATTGACCACTACATTCCTACTGGGCAGGGTTCATTTTCCTCTCCCATACTGGATGCAGCAAGGGATAACACAAGGACACCAGGCACCGAACGAAGGGCTATGAAATACTAAGTCAGGCTCCCAGGTCTTAATTTCTCCAAAAACATAAAAAGAAACCAGTAGCCAGGCGGTGTTGGCACATACCTTTAATCCCAGGACTCGGGAGGCAGAGGCAGGTGGATCTCAGTGAGTTCGAGGCCAGCCTGGTCTACAGAGCAAGTTCCAGGACAGCCAGGGCTACTCAAAGAAACCCTAGCTCGATAAAACAAAAAAAGCAGTCAGGCATGGTGGCTCACCTACAACCTCAAGCAGAGGGATGGTTTCCCAATTTCAAAGCCTGCTTGAGCTATAGAATGACTCCGTCTCCAAAACAAATCAAATCATCAAAGAAAGTGAGGGCACTTAGAGCTAGACAACACTGAACCCAAGTCTTTGTTTTGTTTTCGAGACAGGGTTTCTCTGTAGTCCTAGAACTCACTCCAGACCAGGCTGGCCTCAAACTCAGGGATCTGCCTGCCTCTTGAACCCAAGTCTTAACAAAGCCATCAGGATAATTCTAAATTCCTGACAGGTGTACCCTGCAAGGTTTCTGACCAGTCATCAATGAAGTGGGTTCCCCAGGAGTCTGTACTTCTCCTTCCCACTTCTCAGCACCCACCAAACAAATTCAGTTGAGTTTCTCCTTCTGCCTAAAGTACTTCCTCCCAGCACGGCCTCACTGGATGTCACAGCTGAAGAGTAGTGACTGCAGGGTCTAAGAGCCCAAGAAAAGGTATCTTATCAAAGGTCACCAAGCTGTCAAGTTGTGAAGTGGCCTGATCACCTTCTCTGTCTGCCAGTCTAATCTGGGCAAATACCATCTATATGGGGTCCAGAGTCCCTGCCCAGTCTCCCGGAAGTGGGTGAACAAGGGAAGAAAGCACACATGCATGTGCACACACCATTGCTAGAAACAGATAATCATTAACTTTGCCTAGTGCTCTCCGAACACAGGTTAGTCCGTGAGTGAGAATGCCTTGGGGGAACCTCTAACTGGGCCTGGGAAGGTGACAGGAGAAAAGGGTAGACTTTTATCCAGGCACCCACCCTGGGTGTGAACACTGAGTAATAAAGAAAGAAATGCAGTTCAGAAACAAGAAAGGAGGAGCTTCATACTAGGCTCTTTCTTTGAGAGGCCAGGGGCAAGCCTTGCTGTCTTGTCTCGAGTTGGAGCTATGGGTGCCAGGGGGTGGAAGAAGCTGATCCACTGGAAAGGCATAGAAGCAGGAGTACTTCAGACATTCCTTTGAAGGAAAAAAGATGTGGCTTCCTGGGAGTCGATTAATTCAGGTCAAGGGAGTGGGGCTGGGCAGAGTTATGAGTAAAGAGAGGTGGAGTCGTGCAATGTGAGTCAAGAGCCAGCTGGATCACTCGGGTGTGGAGATGTGTTGGGAGATAGGAACTCCTCTCAAGGCAGAGGGCTGGATGGCAGTCAGTGCCTGTGAAAGGTCCCATCCAAGTCATACCCAAGAGGCAGGCAGTGGGATCAAGTATCCACTAGGCAGTTCTGGAGCCACTCTGCAGAGCTTAGTGGCCACAAGCTAGCTTGAGTTTCTACTTCCAGGTTGGGGTGGGGTCAGGTGAGAGAATATAGATCTCTATTCCCTAGACGGCCCTGCTTCCTGTCCCCACTAGTGATCTTAGATGGGGCTTTATTGGCCATTTCTGAAGCCAATCTGTAATAACTGCACCACTGTCAAAACAGATCCTTAAAATGGATCCCTATAAATTGCTAAGTGTTGTATGAAAAAAATGAAAATAAAACAAGCTATAATGAAAAATAAGCAATCATTTTCTACTCCAGAACAATGGAGTTTTCTACTCACAAAAGCAAATAAAACAAATATAAAGGCCCAGTGTGATGGATTTGATTATCTCTAGACATTCCTAACTGTAAAAATAAAATCATCATTAAAGGTGGGGAAGAAATGATAAAATGGAAGGAAGTCTTACAATGGGAATTTGCAGTTTTCAATACAGACAAAAATCTAGATTTAAAGTAGTACATGCATGAAATAATAGCACATGTGTAGCTGAAGAGACCTTGTCAGTCCCAAAATTAAATTCAAACAATGGAGCAATTTTTTTGGCCTATCAATTGATGAAGAATGTTTTAAAAATAGCCTTCTAGGGCTGGAGAGAGAGCTCAAAGGCTAACAGCATGAGCTGCTCTTGCAGAGGATTGCGTTTAGTTCCCAGCATTCCTATCTAGCAGCTCACTCCAGCTCTGGCCTCCTAGGGCACCAACACTTACATGCACAGATTCAGACAGACAGACAGACAGACCTAACTAAAAATAAAATGAATCTTTAAAAAAAAAATCAGCCTTGGCCGGGCGGTGGTGGCACACGCCTTTAATCCCAGCCCTTGGGAGGCAGAGGCAGGCGGATCTCTGTGAGTTCGAGGCCAGCCTGGGCTACCAAGTGAGTTCCAGGAAAGGCGCAAAGCTACATAGAGAAACCCTGTCTCGAAAAACCAAAAAAAAAAAATCAGCCTTCTAAAACTACCAAAGGTATGGCAAAAACAAACAAACAAAACCCACTTATTCATGGAAATGTACTAGCTTTTTTTTTTTTTTTTTTGTGAGCAAACTGGGGAAGCAATTTTCTGCCTTGGCAACTCCAGGTGAATTTATCCTACAAAAAGAAAACTACATTAAAACTTTGATATAAAGACATCTGGTAAAATGTTATTTACAGCAGTGAAAACCCTTTTCAGGGCTATCTAAAGCTCCAACTAGGAACGACCAGCCAGGCACAGTGTGCTTCCAGCACATCAGAGCAAGGAAGGAGCAGGATGTGGGCACAGAACCAGCAGAGGCTGGCTTCAGGCAGGGTGGTTACTAGCAATTCTTATTTTCACAGCTTCCCTGAAGCAGATTATTAGCCTTCTATTCAGAAAGAAAAATAATAAATAAATCACAATATACTGCTAAATAAAAGATTATAAAATTATAATTAATGTACAATATGATTGACCCCACAGTTGTTTAAAATGCATATGCATACAAACATACTAAGACAACAAAATGTTTATATGAAAACTTATTACAATTATAAAATGAAGTTGTTGAAAGGCTGGAAATGTGGTAGCATGCCAAGGCTGTGGGCAGGAGGGGGAATGTCCCTGGAAGGGACAGCTGCCTTCGCTCTGTTCAGGAAAAGCCACCCTTTCTCTGGGATGTCATGGTGTTTGACTTCCCCTGAAATGAGCCTGTGGCACCATTTCCCGCTCTATTTTCTTCTGAAAACTCTCCTGTACAGGTTCTTTTCATCTCACTGCACCGGATCTAAATCCACCCTGCTGTCCAGCAGATGCTGCCTACGCTGATAATCCAAGTTCAGAACCGTCTAGATTAGGGCACAATGGGGGTTAACTCACAGAAGTGGGTGCCAGTACCCTGAATTAAGAGAGAAGTACACATAATAGACTTATGGATACAATCCTTGGGGATTAAGGAGTAGGAAGGGCCCCATTAAGAGGGTAGGCAGCAACCAAACTTCAGAGGTCAAGTGAGCAAGACTAGGAAAGATAAAGGCAGAAATAACTGTTACTTGGTGGACATCACCGACTGATGTTTTACTACATTTTGTTTTTTAAAATAAAGTGGTGAGTTACCACAATTCACAATTAAGTAGGATTCAAATAAACCTAGATTTTTGGCTTCCCTCAGAGCACCCAACACCATGGTACCACTCAGCTCATCAGCAGATGAGAAAAGCCACTCCTTGCTAGTGAGTGAGGGCTGGAGTGCCCCCTTTCTTGCTTGACTCCTGCCACACGAAGGAAGAACAAATTCCTCGTTGTAAATGAAGATCCAATACAAAGCCCAGCCGCACACCCAGCCTTAGCCGACAAGGCAGGATCCCGGTCCACAGAGCAGGGATCCTATCTCAGACCAGGCTGACTCCCCCTCTACTAGGAAGAAACATCAGCCTCAGCCACAGTCCCGAGGGTCCCGCTCTCCAGTAGGATGCTCTTTTTGAACAGTTTGGGGGTCCACTATAGCTACAGCATCCAGCCAAATCCCCAGCTGGGCTTCCTTTGCTTTCCTTCTGAACCCCAAGGCCACAATTCCTTTTGAGGGTCAGCCTCACCTCTGTGGTTCCCAAACTAGTTTCTCTCGCCAACCTGGGAAGAGAACTTATGATTCTCTTGACAGCCCTACCTTCTCTGGCAAGCTTACAAAGCACATGCGTTTTGTGTAGTTCCACAAGTGAAATATTTGGAACTGCAGTGTTTAAAACAGAACAAAACCTCCCTTCTATTATTATACAATTAAGTATTGTCATTACCTAATTATCAGTTATTTCACATTGATTCTGGTCCAACGGGCTTTCACCAGACACTTTATTTTGTGGTTTCATTAACTAGTTAATTATCTACATTACTGCCAAATACAAGATTCGGTGAAGATTTGGTGGCATAAATTAAGAACTAACTGTATGTAATTTCACTTACTAAATCTCATTCATTGATCACAGAAAATGATACTACCTTAAGTGCTGAACTATGAAGGGGTAAGACATGTTTGTTCTGGCTCCCCCGTGTTATGGAATTAAAGTCTCTTCCTGCAGAGGCGGAGCAAAGGGACCTGAAAGTACATTTTTACCATTAGTACATTATTTGTCATAGAATTTCTAGATTTGGCAATAGAGCTCAGCCTTAACTTCTTGGACCAGAGTTCAAATCCTGCCTCTGTACCTCTGCTCAGTGAATAACATTAGTGCAAGTTACTTAAGCTTTTGAAGCTTCCATTACCTTCAGCTGCCACACGACAACACCACATCACCTAAAGGTTACTAAATGAGACAATCTTCTGTAAAAGACGGAAACCAAGGTTAGCTCCTAATGTCTCCACAACACAGAAGCTGGCTTTCACTTTGGGTCAATAGGTAGTACTCTATTTAGTACTATTTAGACAGGTTTCTCAATTGAGTCCAATGGCAGGAGACTTTCTGGCCAAAATTCTAAAAGGCTACACAAAGTAAGGAGAGAAGACAAATCGCAAGTGTCACTGTTTCTGAACTCCCCTAGATCCGGAGTCCTTCTCTCCCTGGCATGGTGGTCTCACTCCTCCCTCAGCCGAGTAGGTCGCCCTCAGCTCTCCCGAGGCCAGCCCAGTCCGACTGGCGTCCTATGTAGGAGTGGGGTAGCACTGCAAACCCCGGGCTGAGGAGCTGCCCGGCCTGTGCTCTCTCCCACTGTTCACTGCCCTGGGGTGAGCAGAACCGGAAGCACACGCTGCCCGCCCTCTTCTAAGCATCAGCTCCACGGCACCTCTGTCCAGTGTGGCTGGATTTCCGTCCTCTACCTTCTTTTCTTTCCAGTTTCCCTGTTGCTAAGGAGTACCCATGATCCTCTACCTCCCAAGGAGAGCCCAGAGACCCAGAGATTTCTGCTTGGACCAAGACAGGCAGACAGACTCCATCTCAAAGAGGTAAAAGGTCTTCATTCAGTCACAACATAGCTTCCCAGAGTAAAAGCACAGACTCACAAAGGCAGCATTAGCTGTTCCAACCAGCAATTAAAGAAATGAACCGCTGTTTTAGTCATTTGAGTGAGTCACAGCAGATCTTTCCAGAACAGAATAGGATCTCAGGCATGTGTAAATTCTATTGCTATGGGTGCCCTGAGCCAGGCGTTTTAACACTACAGTGATATTCACACAAGGCATATGGGATGATTAGCATCTTTCAAAACCATTAATGCCCTCCTTCAAGAGGTAAAAGCCGACTGTTCTATTAATGAACATGACAGCAAATGAAATCTGAGCAGCAAGTTCCCTAGAAACAACGAAGTCACATCCCTCTCCTTAGGGCACCCCTGGCTAGCACTTCTGAGACTTTACTCAAAGAGCAATAACTGAGGTTTTGCAAACGGGGTAGAAGGGTCACTGCAGACCTTCACTCTGTACCATAAAGTAAACAGGGAGCATTTCTCCTTGAGCCTACAGCCATACAGGGCAAGTCACATGCATGCTCTGACCTATACAGAAACATCCTTCTAAGAAATAAGGCCCGGCTAGTTCATATAAACATAAAACAGAGAACCGTCACAACTTTTCACATGAATAACACATCACATGCATGTTAGCCTGCCAACAAGATCAAATACAAAGCAAAATGAAAATGCATTTCTCTAGGAGATCTATATCTTACTAGTCCTAAAACAAAGTTAAAAAAAAAAAAAAACACCTAAAGGACAGGCCCAATATGTGTACATTCTAGAATAGAAAGATGTGACCAAAAGAAAGGTTGGTCAGGTGAAACTATAAAAAAAACACAAAACATAGCCAGGGGGTAGTGGTGACACACACCTTTGATCCCAGCACTTGGGAGAAAGACAGGCAGGCTGATCTCGGTGAATTCAGCCTGGTTCACAGAGCAAGTTCCACGACAGCCAGGACTATACAGAGAAACCATGTTTCAAAAAAAAAAAAAAGTATAAAAAGTACAGGTAGTGATTTTTTTCTTCCTTATACTTTCATTTTAAAGTTTTTAAGTGAAAATGTACCATCATAAATACTTATCTGGGTACAACTGAGTATTTCTAGAAAGTTCCACAGACACAATTTCATCCATTCCCATTCTCACAATGAAATTCAGGATCGCGATGGAAGGGGCTGCAGGTGCCCCCGTGTGGCTTCAGAAGGAAGTGCTGCAAATGAGAAAGACCAAGGGGCTCCCACAGCCTGTCTCTCTTGCCCCCTCTCCCTGAGACAGGGTCTCCTACAACTCCCTCTGGCCCTGAACTCACAATGTAGACAAGACCAACTCTGAACTCAGCCTTGAACTGCTGACCTCCTCCTTCCACCTCCCAAATGCTGATCACAGGTGGGGTCACCAACCCAGCACTCACTTCCTTCTCTTCAAAGTGGGGGGAGGGAGCCCAGGGATGTAGCTCAGTTGGTACAGTACCTGCCTTGCACTAACAGAGCCCTGGGTTCAATCTCCAGCACCACAGAAGACCAGGTATGAAGGCAACATCTGCAATCCCAGAAACAGGGAGGTGGAGGCAGGAAAACCATGAATTCAACGCCAACCTTGGCTACCTTGAAAGTTCAAGCCCATGAGCTTCATGAATGAGACCCTGCTTCAAACACAACCAAAATGAAATAAAACCAAATGGCCGTGGATGGCTTCTGCGTGGGATGTTTACATCTTTTCCACACCTGGCATTTGACTCTTCCTGTCAGACACCAGAGGCTTGGATTTCCACCAGGAAAAGAGGTTTTGTTTTCTAAACTCTATTAATCGACCAGAACCCTTAGGGTTAGCTGAAACTCTTCCTCCTCCTCCTCCTCCTCCTCGGAGCTGCCAACAGGGAGGGTGAAGGAACCAAACCGACAAACCCAAGCCGATTCTAAACAAAAGCACCTTGTTCCCTCTGGAAAACAAGTTCAGCTCTGTCCCCACTCCAGCCATCGGGGGATCAGAAGCCAACCAGAGAGCAGAACAGAATTTAAGATAATACCACAGAGATTCAATTTCATATCAATCCACCAACACCAACTTGACCTCCAGACATGTAAGCAGAATGCCACTCAACACTGTGACACGTGAGCAACCAATTTCTTTAAAAAGCTTCTCTTCAATTACAAAGCACATGTGTAATATGTCCGTTGAAAATGTTTTCAATGTCATCTCAAACAATGTTAGAAAAAAATAATGTTCAAATGCAAAGGTACTCACGGCTTTAGTTTTTCAAAGACTGTGGACACCACTCTTGTCAAACTTTTTTTTTCCCTTCCCATTCTAAGATCATTATCTTAACACCTATACAACCTGCTCCATAACAAATCTCAACCTTAGGGCTGAAACACATATAGACACAGATACAACTTTTGCATCTCCATTAATGTTCTCTAAGAATCTCCAGGAACTAGACTTAAACAAAGGTCAACACTGTGCCTGAAGGGCATTTTGAATGGGCAAAAGTGTATGAAAAAAAATATACAATTATCAGGGGGTGGGGATTTAGGCCCTGGGTTCGGTCCTCAGCTCCGAGAAAAAAAAATACAATTATCCAAACATGAAAAATTTATAAGTTAAACAAACAAACAAACAGAAAGTCAAAATTCCAACATCAATACAATCCAAATGAACCACACACACATTTGTACCACCGACATGAAGACGGGGAGAAAAGAGAAAGTACTAACACAGCTGTGAGAAGGCTGACACCCTGGGTAACTGGTGTGTCTGTTTTGTAAAGCTAATGACTGAATTCAGGACCTTGTGTTTGCTAGGCAAGTGCTCTACCACGGAGTCACATCTCTAGCCACTTCTGTTTCAAAATCATTGAACATCTGCCAATTTATGATGAGGAAAACATTTATTGATTATTTATTGAATATCCACCAGGTATTCTGGCATTTAACTGCCACTGAACTCAGAGATCCTTAGATTTTATCAAGAAAACTGATGTGGGGACTGAGGACATAGCTCAGTTGGTAGAGCATTTTTGTCTAGCAGAGTCCTGGGCTCAATAGATCATTAGCACCACATAAATCAGGCTTGTACTGCCAGCACTCAAGATAAAGATACTGGAGGAAAAGGATATTAAATTCATCTCAGTTACACATGAAGTCTGAGAAGACAAACAACAACAGGGCTGGGGAGATGGCTCAATGGCTAAAAGAATGTACTGTTCTTGCAGAGGACCCAGTTTGGATTCTAGGACCCACATCAGGTGGCTCACAACTGCCTGTGACTTCAGCTCCAGGGGATCTGATGCCTCTGCAGGCACCTGCACTCACATACACAGACACAGACATAATTACTGGATGTAGGCAATCTAAGGCCTGCATTCAATCTGGGCATGGTTGTGCCCCTGAACACTGTTTTCTTCGTGCTGTCAAATGAACGGATGGGTTACAACAGTGCTGCTTTTCCTCAGTTGGTTTCTGGTTGCTATGTCACAGATCAGATCTCCAGGGGGAGGGGGTGGGGAGAAGACACCATACTCCTAGTCTCTGGAAGACCATGGCTAAAATGTTCTTTCCCAGCTTTCAACCCCACTGCACCATTTGCATTTCCTTTATTAAGCTATGCCCCCAACACCAATTTCTGCTAATCACAGCCACCTTTCAAAAAGGGAGCTTAACTACTCAGCACAAGTCTTTATGGGTGCCAAAGAGCTCAAGCCCTATACGAGAGTCTGTCCATATAGAACCCTAGGCTACTAGTCAAGAATCTAGCACAACAGACCGTTTCTGAGACAAAAGAATGAGACAGAAAAGAATGAGACTTCCAGAGTATCAGAAAACCACATTCCCATTACAAATGTGTTTCAGACATTATTACCCTGGCCTCGGATAAGCAGATAAGTAGACAGAAAATCCACCAAAAAAAGCAGAGTTTGGTCAATAAATTAGCTGGCCACATCAAAGATTCCACTTTACACCACACCAATACCTGTTGAAAATATAATCCAGGAGCCGAGCAGTGGTGGGTCATGTCTTTAATCCCAGCACTTGGGAAGGAGAGGCAGGTGAGTTCAATCTCTGTGAGTTCAAGTCTACAGAATGAGTTCCAGGACAGCCAGAGTAAAACAGCGAAACCATGTTTTGAAGGGGGGGGGGGGGACGGCCTTCATACATCTAGGTAAATGTTCTACCACAAAGATACACCCCTACACCCTACCTAGAACACATAGGACCTTACTTAGTTTCTCATTTGTCACATCAACTGTTTACCCAACTCAAGTAACAGCAAATATTTCCCCAATTCCAGGATTCAAACAGGATGAATAGTTTTCAATTCTGAAGTCTTATATTAAAAACCAAACACATTCCATTCACGTTACTAAAAAGCAGCACGACTGCTACAGAACCATACTGTCAGTGGGCTGGAGGAGGGATCAGTGGTACATTTTGATGTGCCTCAGCCCCATCCTGCTTCCTCAATTCTGCTTCTGACATAGGCCATGTCAGAACAGCAGCAACTGAGGAATGTGCTGCTTCCCTATGTTCCCAGACTGGCCCTCTCCTTAGTCTGAGATGTCTGTCTGTGACAGCCTGGCCACCTACCCCAGGCTAGTTCCTTTCTGAGGACTGGCTCAATCAACTCTAGGTACCTGAGAAAGCAGGTGTCTTGAAGGCAACGATGAGCATTCCCATACCTCTGCTCTGCTCTGCTGCCTCCATTAACGCCATACCTCTCAGTGATGGACATGTTCTAGGCAGTGCCTCTGGCCTCAGGGAATCCGTGCCAGGCTGAGATGAACTACTGGAGTAGGATCTAGTTCCTCCTAAGTTTGTCTGCTGTTACAACAGTCACAATTCCTCCTGAGCCCCTGTACCATACATACGACTCCAGATATCTTTAAGAGGGGAAGGGTTAAAAACTGATTCATTTCTGCTTTTCTTTTTTCTTCTTTTTATTTAGACAAGTGTCTTTCTCTGTAGCGTAGGCTGACCATAAATTCACAGCAATCATCCTACCTCAGCCTTCAAGTATTGGGATTGTAAGTGTTAAGAGACCACATTCAACTGCATTTCTGCTTTGTAACATGATTCCACATGGTGTCACTAATGGACCAATGCTGAAATTCCTCTGGCTTCCCAATGAGCTTTACCTCCAAAGCTATTTTATAGATTTTTTTTTTTTTTTGTATTGATGTTAGATGTTAGGGACTCAACCCAGGCTGCCTTCTGAATATTAAGCACATACCGTCATTGCACCACATCCTTAGCCCTATACAGACACTTTTCTAACTGTAGAAGAAATAAAGAATTAACTAGCAACAAGCCTCAAAATTTGGTTACGTATGTAGGTACAAAGTTGGTTCATCAAATCCCTGTTCTGGCCCTCAACCCAATGCATTTCAACTAAGGCGCCATCTACTTCCTTCTTAATGTTGATTAGGCACTTAAACAGGTAATGTCCAGCTGCTTCGTCCAGGCGGTCTCCCTTCTCAGAAGCCTCTCCGTCCTGGGCTCCATTGCTGGAGCCTTTACAACTTTCCATGACCCCCATCCCTCCCCTTTCCTCACTCCTTTCATCCTCCATGGCTTCTGCAGTTTCCTCCTGGCAAAGTGACTCCTGGCTGAGGCAACGGCCACCGACAGTGGCCGATTCACCTTCGGGTACAGCAAGGCCACACAAGGCACTCTCCTGGTAGCATGGGGCTATGTCCTGGCTACCACTCAGCTCTTTGGGAGTGGACTTTCTCTCCTCCAAGGCTAAGAGAACATCCTCAGGAGCTCGGGGCACCTCTCTTAGTTGTCTCACTCGCTCTCTTCTCTTCCGCCTTAAATGAATCCAAGAGTTTTCTACGGCTGTCAGGAAAAGGCTAACTTCTTCTTTTCCACAAGGAATTCGTTTATGGTGGACCTATGCGGAGGAAAAATCAGAATTTTATAGGAAATCATCTGTCACTGCTTACCAAACTCCTTCAATTAAAACAAACCGTAAAGGTCATTATGGATAAGTACTTCATCAATATGCTTGGTACACACCTTCAGATCAGTGAGGATCTTTTCTATCCATGTTGTCACAACTATTATGCCTTCCACTGTCTCAGAGCCCAGTGACAAGGCTTTGAGGGATAATTCTTCCATCACAGACTCCAGCACTACAAACGTAATGGGTTTCCTCGGCTTTTCTAATCTTCTTCGTTTACTTGGAGGTGACTGAAAGAAAAAAGAAGAAAGTTACCCCAACAACGAAATACAGTCCACTATAACGGGCACTAGGAAGGACATTTCCAGGACTTCTGTTCCCAACCACAAGGCATGAAACACAAAGGCTTTTGCACGTGTTATTTCCAATGCTGGAGACAGCTCTGGAAGAATGCTCTCCCACGTCCTCTACTTTACAAAAAGAAAACTGAGACACAGGCTATGTCGTTATAGCTCAGTTACACCACTAGTAAAGACAGAATCAGGATTCAGACTCCAGCTACAAACTCTTTCAACCCTATCACTTGCTCAACTCTGGCTCCCAGTATGGATACTCTCCAAGCACTAGATAGATGGCCTTGTGTAACTGTGGTGCCCCAAGCAGGCCCACACTGAACTGCACACAGGCAGGGGTGACAACCCAGTTTGCAAAGTGTTTGTCACACAAGCCTGAAGATGTGCACCTGATCCCAAGAATCCACATTATTGAAAAGAAAGTATGGTGGTACACTTAAGGGCAGTGAAAACAGGACTATGCCTGGGGTTCACCGGCCAAGCCAGCCTCACTTCATCAGGGAGCCTCCCAGGCCAATGAGAAGCCCTATCTCAAAAAGCAAGGTGGATGGCTGCTGAAGAATACTAGCTGAGGTAGTCATCTGCTTCCACACCAAGAATACTACTACCACTATTACTACTACACAGTAAGGCTGATTAGAGATGGAACTCAATGGTAAAGCACATGCCTAACATAAAATCATCAACTGACAGTTTGCTTGAAATTAAATATGCTAAGTGGTCGGCAGGGGTGGAGAGGTGATGGCGCATGCCTTTAATCCCAGCACCTGGGAGGCAAAGGCAGGTGGACCTCAAGTTTGAGGCCAGACTGGTCTACACAGCAAGTTTCAGGTCAGACAGGTATAGAAAGTAAGACCATACGAAAAGAAACACTTGCTGAGGCTTGAAATACAGCCGTTTACAAAAATCACAGGCCAGGAATGATCAGAGCCACTGAGAATCACATGGGTGGAAGAAGCTGGGCCCAGACTGTCAGCCGAGGATACCAGCACCAATGAGAACACTACATTGAAAAGCTAGGCCACAGGAGTCCAATCACATCACACTTTCTACCTAGGACTTAGGCAGGTCACACTCCACCCACTAGAGGGACTAGAGTTCCACTTAAAACACCAAAAGTAACACAATAGTAATTAAATTATCCTTTTAAAGTTAAAACTTTCTACAAGATACACTTAAAAAGTTACAATTTGGTGTCGCAGGCTTTTAATCCCAGAATTTGAGAGGTAGAGGCAGGCCTCTGAGTTCGAGGCCAACCTGGTCTACAGAGTGAGTTCCAGGACAGGCTACACAGAGAAATCCTGTCTTGAAAAACCAAACCAAACAAACCAAATAAAAGAAAAGAAATTGGTATTAAACCCAACTCCATAGGCCCTGGCACTAGGACAAGTTTGCACCTTATTACAGATACTAATACAGAAAATTATTTTCCCCAACTGAAGTAATTTTGTTGTTGTTGTTGTTTCTGAGGCAGGATCTCACATAGTCCAGGCTGGTCTCAAAACTCTCAAGGATGAGCTCAAATCTTCAATCCTCTTGCCTACCATATTAGATAGTACCAATCAATTAAGGGGCCACGGAGTATACGCTAGTAAAAACTCGAGCCAGGCAGTGGTGATGCATGCCTTTAATTCCATCACTTGGGAGGCAGAGGCAGGCAGATCTCTGTGAGTTCAAGGCCGGCCTGATCTACAGAGTGAGTTCCGGGACAGGTTCCAAAGCTACACAAAGAAACCTTGTCTCAAAAACAAAAACAAACAAAACAAAACAAAACAAAAACCGAAAAATTTCATGGCCACAGAGGCAACCACTATGAGAAAGAGAACTTATGTGTGGGACAATACAAAGAGACTGAGATGGAGCCAAACTGTTTTACTCAGAAAAAAATGATTTACTCATTCTTCTCTACTATTCAATATGTAACTTTCTTTTTTTTTCTTTTCTTTTCTTTTTTTCTAGACAGGGTTTCTCTGTGTAGCTTTGTGCATCTCCTGGAACTCACTCTGTAGCCCAGGCTGGCCTTGAACTCACAGAGATCCGCCTGCCTCTGCCTCCTAAGTGCTGGGATTATGTACAGTGTTCTGTCTGCCTGTATGCCTGCTGGCCAGAAGAGGGTACCAGATCTCATTACAGATGGCTGTGAACCACCATGTGGTTGCTAGGAACTGAACTCAGGACCTTTGGAAGAGCAGCTAGTGCCCTTAACTGCTGAGCCATATCTCCAGCCCAATATGTAACTTTCAATACAGCAAACAGAAACTCTTCTACATCTACTCTAGAAAGTTTGTATCTATATTCTGGATATTATATCTATAGAAAGTATTGCCGTTGTTATTTTTGTGATATGAGGGATGGAACCTAAAACTATGTGCATGCTAGGAAAGCATTCTATCACTGAGCTACATGCCCAGACCACAGACAGGAACTCTGACCAGAATAGTAGACTTAGGGGAACTCTAATTTTTCCCAGAGGAGAAGCTGTTGGGATGATTCAAAACAAGTGCTCACTTTGGCAGCACATATACTAAAATTGGAACGATACAGAGAAGATCAGCATGGCCCCTGCACACAGATGACAGCAAATTCATGAAGCGTTTCGTATTTAAAAAAAAAAAAAAAAAAAACAACCAAGATTCTTCAATAAAGACTGCACAAAGAGGTTATGGTAGCCAGGCTCAAGAAAAGACAAGAGTCTTGGTAAGCAGAATGAATATCCAAGTGTTTAAAGTCTGGGCTAGAAAATCAGACTGGGGCTTGACTTTCTGCAGCCTCCAGAGGCTGGTATTGCTGTTCACACAACTGTTCCCTGGTTTAATGAAAAAGAAACAGTACGTGTATTCAAATAATGACAACTAGATGCAGTACATCAAAGCTTCCAAAACCTACTGATGTCCTATTCACAGGGCTGTGCCTCAGCTTAAGGCCTAAACTATTCCTTTAAACATTCAACAAATCCTTCTTTAGGATAAACAGCCAAGGAAACAAACAGGTAAATCTTGGTCCCTAAAGTCCAGATTAGCTCCAACTGTTTCTTTTTCTGAAATGCTCTCATCCCTATCATTCATCCCAGCACTTATGAATGTACAATTTTTTATATACATTGTTTCAGCTGTGTTTTGCTTTGCTACAAAACTAACACTTAAGAAACTGTCTTTTCTGATTTCTTTGTTATTACCACAGCAAGGCTCATACTTTGATTCTGCTCAAAGCTCAGTCCCTAATCACTACATCTGTTTTACAGCCTAATTTAGACCTTGGTAGAGTTCTGATTCACAAACCATTTTAAAGTTTGGTGTGGTGGCACATACCTACCTGTAATCTCAGAACCAAGAAAAAGAGGCAGGAAGAACACCATACCTGATCTACATAACAAGTTCTAGGCCAGTCAGCACCAGAATAGTGAGACCCTACCCCTAAATAAATAACTAAAAACCAAACCAACAAAAAACTCAACTCTCACATAAGATAAGCAATAAACCATCCATCTACTTCCCAAACTATTTCTTCTTTAAATTTATTTTTAGTGCACTGTTACATGGAGACTGAAAGAAGGTATGGGATTCCCTGGAATTGGACTTGTGAACTGCCACATGGGTGCTGGGAATCGAACCTGGGTCTGAGAGAGCAAGAAGCAAGTGTAACCACTGAGCCATCTCTCCAGTCCTGTGCACACTTTATGAACCAGGGTTCCTGAGCAGCACTCACATCCAGAGTACACCATTTACTAGAGCTATGTGTCACCCTCTACCCTTCCCCTTCAACCAACACCAACTTCCTAAAGCAAACCAGACCTGAAGCAGCACCTTGTCGACTTAGAGAACTGGGATAGGGGTTCTAAAAGTGACTTGCCAGCATCCTGTGAAACCTACTCCTTCCCCATGTCCTCATCAGTCAGAAATGATGGTACAAAAATTCTACCAACATTAAGTAGGTTGTCTTTTCGCTGCTAAAATGAGTCTAGACAACAGCAGTGGGCTCAGTGTAAGCACTAGAATTAATTGAATTAGAATTTTCAGCATGCAGCACCAACAGAAACAAGTCAGTAGGCCTGAGATAAGTGAAGACAAGTTGCCATAGGAACTTGTACATCACGATAAAAGGCAGGGTGGGAGTGAGGAAGTAGGTCAATATTCTTGCTTAACCAGTTCTATTCTGTGTTCCTCTCTTGAGTGAAACTGCATTCTAATCCTGCCCGACCCCACCAGGAGCAAGAGAGGAATGTCAGTCATGAGTTTTCCAGAAAAAACGGTGACTGGGGGAATCTAAGAAGGAAGGGGAACCAAGAGGAAGGTCAACCCAAACTCTCCCAAGAGTAACCTGGACCTACCCACAGGGAAAGCAGTCCTTCATCAAGGGTGCCAATGCTAAGAAACTGTTGCTGGGTTACTACAAATCAGAAGCTGTCACCCCCACACACACACACACACACACACATCAGCAGTTGAAGTGCAGCTAATGGAACACTGGGGAATGCATTATTAGCAGCTTAGGGATGACTGCAGCGGTGGGAAGGGAGAAATACTCGGTAGCATGGGAGGAATCTCAGGCCCCTAGCAAGAGGCATTCCTTGACGGATGGAAACTATGCAGGCTACAAGATACCCTAAAAAGGAGAGAGGGAGGCTCATAGATTCCTTTTCTAAGTAAGCTGATTTTGAAAAAACATAAATAAAAATAAACCGATTTTGTACAAAGACACTGCCCTTTAACACTAGTATCTGTGATGACTCCCTCATCCAAGAAGGCGAACAAGAACGTGTCTGGATTATTGTGGGGAATGTCAAAGTCCGTTATCAGCTCTTCCCAGCTGTGTCAAAAACTGTGGGCAGCGGGTTAAGAAGACACTCTTGGAAGCAGGTGCTGCTCCCCTTTCCCACAGCTGTTTGTGTCTACACAGGCAGAGCTCAGGGCATTGCTAATGACTTCAGCCATCTGCTGTGTAGGTCCTAGTGGTCTAGAAAACAAGAGAATAATATTTGAGGAGGAGGAAGCTATGAAAAGCTGAGGCATCTTTTTAACTAGTAATCAAATTAAACACTAACCTCTGGGTACCCTACTGCACAGTCCAGAAGCAAGTCTAGACTCCCATAGAAAGTACACTCTAGAGAGGCAATTTCAATCCTGCAGAACATCTAGTTGTGGAGAAAGAATTGGCTCAGCTTCAAATCTGACCCTCGTGTTTTCAAAAACAAGGCAGCATCTGCAAACCATTCCTTGGCACTCCCACATACATCTATCTACCTCTCTGTCTACAGCAACAGAGAAAGACTCAAAGACAGCAACATCTAGAATAGCTCTGGAGACCAAAAATGGTCAAGTCATTGGAGGAGGTGGCCCCAGAACAAGCCTGCTATATGGTGTAGTGGGTATTGCCTCCGCCAACTGAGAAATCAGAACAGGAAAAAGAAAAATGATTGCAAGCACAATGACAGCTTTCTAGCAGCTTAGGAAAGCAGCAGTGGCCAGGTAGAGAAACAGACTGAAGAATGTCCACCAGAAGTTACACTGGCCAGGCGTTCCTACAGGCTATGCTGCCTACACTTCTAACTTCTAAATGATGCTAGGATTAGCTCTTGTTTACAATTTCCATTTTGCCATAAACATTTGGAGAAATGGAAATTCTCCAAATGGAAACCGTGACAGTACAGATTGAGTTCATTTATGATCTGTGGAAGCTTATCATGTGAGGGGCATTTGGAGAAGCCAAATCAAGCCTTTACTTACCGGTACTGTGACGTCATCATAAAAACTCCAAGCTAAGGCCCATCGCATTGTCCTGCCTTGACAGAACTCCGTGAAGGTGACTTTAGGAACCTGAAACCAGTAAACGCAGCATCTCATATAAAAGTTCTGTTTGATTTGAGAGAGGGTCTCAGGTAACTAAGGGTGACCGTGAACTCCTGATCCTCCTGCCTCAACCTACTGAGTACTAGCAATCAAGTGCATGTCACCATGCCCACCTTCAAACTAAAGTCTTTCTAGTAATGATTCTGGCTGCTAACTCTTATGGTTGTTTTTTGTTAGTTAACAAACATTATTAAAAAAAAAAAAAAAAAGGTATATACAGCTGATTATCTCTATACAGAATTTTTACCTCTCATAAAACATTAAAATTTATAGATGTCTCAAAGGTCAAACAACAAACAGCTAAAACAGTTCTTTAGAGTCACTGTAAAATGGTTTAGGTACTTTTTCTTCATTTCTTTGACAGAGGACTTGGCTACCTGGGCCAAACTGGCCTTCTGCTTGGAATCTTCTTGCTTCTACCTCCCGGGAGCTAGAATTACAGATGTGGACCGCCTTAGCAGTGTGGGGTTGAATACAGGGCCTCAAGCGTATGCCAGACAAGCACTCAGTGCTCCTAAGCCTGTGTTTACTGTTGTTTTGAGACAGGGTCTCACTCTGTAGCCCTGGTTTGCCTGGAACTTATTATGGAGACCAAGGTGGCCTCAAACTGAAACCACCTGCTTCTGCTTCATGAGTGCAGGGATTAAAGACATGACCACGTCCAGCCTTTGTTTACTTCTTTAAACACAAGAGCCAATCAAAGTCTGGCCATAAGCAGATGTATAATCCCTTTCATTTATCAGATTTCAATAAAGAAAAAGTAGCCAGACGGTGGTGGTGCACGCCTTTATTCCTAGCACTCAGGAGGCAGAGGCATGAAGATCTCTGTGAGATCCAGGCCAGCCTAGTGACAGAGCTAGTTCCAGGATAGCCAGGGATACACAAAGAAATCCTAAACAAACAAACAAACAAACAACAACAAGTAACTAACTATTCTGTAGTTTTTAATATCTTTAACAAGAAATACTGGGCTAGAGAGATGGCTCAGCAATTAGGAGCAATTCTTGCTCTTGCAAAAGTCCCAGCTTGGTTCCCTGAACTCACAGGGTAGATTACAACCATCCATAATGCCAGAAGAGAATGTGGCCTCTTCTGACTTTTGTGGGTACACATATACCTGCAGACAAAACATTCATACACATAACATAAATACACGTTCAAACACATTTAGCTTTATGTATAAAGAAGGCTGCCCTACTGAAACTACATTCTAAAGCACACACCTGAATGGCAGTGACAAAGCTTACCCCTTGGATTCTGAGCTCTTCCTTCAGTGGAGCCAGGCTGCACTTCTTCCCCAGCATACAGCTATACCACCTTGGGAAAACATCAGACAAATGAAAAGTGGTTGTAAGCATCGTTCATGAGAACAGCAGCAAAAAATATTGAGTTAAGTTACAAGTAACAATAACAAAAATTGCACAAATTAGGTAAATACTGAATCACATAATGGAAAAAAAGAAGCCCAAGGCAACCTAAAAAAATAATCTTGGCTGGCAAATGGCACAGTGAATGAAGGCTTGAGTTCAATAACCAGAGCCCATGGTGGAAAGAGAGCAGCTGCTCTGACTTCCACACACTCACCATGGCACCACATGTGTGCACACACAAGTAATTAAAAAAAACCTGCCAGGCAGTGGGAGCACACCTTTAACGCCAGCACTCAGGAGGCTGATGTAGGAAGATCTCTGTGAGTTCAAGGACAGCCTGGTCTACATAATAAGTACCAGGCCAGCCAAGGTTGCATAGTGAGACCTAGTCATTTAAAAAACAAAAAACAAAGAACAGGTAAGTAAGTAAGTAAGTAAGTAAACTGCTTGGTTTTCCAATGCTTTAAATGTACCTATCTGGACAGAGGTCAAAGAAGATGAGCTCCATCTATCATACATAGGACAAGGGCCACATGGTTGTAGGGCAGACATTAGTCAACAACACAAAGGCAGGACCTGCGGAGATGGTTTTAGAGCACTTGCTGGTCTGGCAGAGGACCCAGTTCAGTTTCTGAGCACCCAGATGGTGGCTCATAACCACCCACGAACTCCTATTCCAAGGGATCTGACTCCCTCTTCTGGCCTCCACAGGCCCTGCACAAACATTGTGTACATACATAAAAACAAGAAAAAACTCAAAATAATTCTTTAAAAAATAACAGAAAGGCATACAAATACCCTCGCACTATATTAAGAAAACACAGAATCCTGCCTGAACTTGTGTTGTGAACTGCTCTATGCCAGCCAGGTAGTGGTAGCTCACACCTTTAATCCCAGCACTTGGGAGGCAGAGCCAGGAAGATCTCTGTAAATTCAACTCAATTCTGATCTACAGAGTTGAGTTCCAAGACAGCCAGGACTATATAGAAAATTTCTCTGAAGGAGTGGAGAGAAAATAAGGTGAACTGGTTGAAGGGTGAAAGTGATGTATATTGGGCTGGAGAGATGTCTCAGTGGTTAAGAGCACTGACTCTTCTTCCAGAGGACCTAGGTTCAATTCCCAGCAACCACATGGTGGCTCACAGCCACTTGTAATGAGATCTGGTGCCCTCTTCTGGCCTGCAGGGACACATATAGGCAGAACACTGTATACATAATAAATAAATATTTTTTTAAAAAAGTGATGTATATCATTTTTTCTGATTATTCTAAATAGCCTGAAAAATAATAACGGATATAGGATTGTGCTTCAGTCAGATTAGCTAGCATGGGAACTGCCTTCTACTGTTGAAAGTGATGAAACTCTGTCTAAAAGAAAGAAAGAGGAATGAAGGGAACTGCAGACAGCAAGTCCTACAGCTGCCAGAATGTAGTGCACTAAGCATCTTTCCAGTTTCAGTACAGGGAAAGGATCCTCAAACAGCACAATAATCCTGCTGAGCTGATAGGTGAGAGTTGAGAAGATAAAGCGGGTAGGATCTGCAAAGCAAATCAAGGGGAAAAATTCAAGAAGAAAGGAAATAATTAAGATTAGATTTTTAAAAAAATCAATAAAAAACAAATTATCAGGCTGGAAAGAGGTAACATCATCAGAGAACATCACAGAACCTACAAACATGGTAAGGGGCACAGAAAGGAGGGAAAGCGAGGGCGATTGGGTAGGAAGAGAAAGAGAGACTGAGACTCTCTCTCTACGTTCAGGCTAGTCTCCAGCTTTCTGTGCAGCCTATGCTGACCTTGAACTTCTGATTTCCCTGCCTACAGCCCCCACCTTACTCCCAGTGTTAGGATTATAAGCATGTACCACCATGCTGGGTCTATTCAGTGCTATGGGCTAGAGATTGAACCCAGAGATTCATGCATGCCAGGCAAGCACCCTACCAATGTACCCACATCCCTAGCCCCAAGAAAAATTACTTATAAACAACTTTTTTTTTTCCTTCTGGTTTTTTGAGACAGAGTTTGTCCGTGTAATTCTGGTGCCTATCCTGGATCTCGCTCTGTAGACCAGGCTGGCTTCAAACTCAGAGATCCTCCTGGTTCTGCTTCCTGAGTGCTAGGATTAAAGGTATGCACCACCACCGCCTGGCATAAACAGCTCTTGCTATACAATCTCACAACTAGTTCAAACAAATTCCTTGAAAGACACAAACTACCATACTTACTCCAGAAGTACAAACTCAAATTGTTCTTGTATTACATCATCAATTAAAGAAACTAATTCAGCCAGGAAGTGGTGGGGGTGCATGCCTTTAATCCCAGCACTAGGAAGGCAGAGGCAGGTAGATGGATATTTATGTTTGAGGCTAGCCTCTAGAAAGTGAGTTCCAGAACAGCCAATGCTACACAGAGAAACCCTGCCTTGAAAAACAAGGAAGGGAGGGAGGGAGAGAGGGAGGGAGGGAGGGAGGGAG